TTAACGCCGTGGCCTCCGTTTGGCTTTCAGCTCCTTATTCTCCCGCCGATCCTTTTCTGTAGGATCAGAAATTAGCAGAACTCTTCGCAGCCAACACGCTTTTTGAGCGATTTCCTTTACCGTCTCGCTTGATAGCGAGTTCTAAGGTCGTACAACATGGCCCGTATAATCTGAAATGTCCACAATAGGCTACACTGTAAGTGCTTGTAAGACACGAAAAATAAATCAAACTTTTTCAATCTATTCTGGTACAGTAAGTCCTTAAGACAGTTATGAGTCAACAGTCATGCGTGTGCAGACGGTGACAAACAGGTTAACCTTATATTTAGTTGTTGCAAAGTTATGAAGATGATCATTCTGTGGACAACGAAGAGTTATTTTGAACATCTGAAACTTCTGAAAGAGGTTTGAGCACCAACTAAATAAAAAAATCGTTTTGGAAATGTCTACTGCACGTTCTGTGCTCTAGGTTTTTCAGTTTTTTAAAATGTATTTTTGAAGTTATTGGGCGACCTTTTCTTTTAAATTTCAGTGGATTCATTCAGAAACATCGTCACTAAAAATCGTATTCCCGTGATAAAATTGTTCACCAAATAAAGTTCTACTATGAGCTTAAAATATTTTCTATCGAAGCGCTCGCTCCAAACTTGTTCAGTATTTTCTGATGGAAATGAATTATCTTCATCATCAGTATGATTGTATTTAATTAAAATTTAGGTGAGTTTCTTTTGAATTCCCTATTTTTACATGCGTGTTGTGATATCAAATAATAGTACCTCAACTTATTTGCGATGCCAAATGCCATCAGCTAGTGGGGTGGAACAAATGTGAAAAAGAACAGAAAGTTAAGAGAACTCCTTGAGATAATTTAGAAGGAAAATATTTCACTCTTGGATGGAGAGTCACACGGGGAGGGCATTACAGAGGTCACCGAAATCATAGCCGAATTGCGGAAGGGGTTGCCGGATACCCCTTTGCTGATTGCAGTGTCCGTGGACTATCGGCGAATGCCCGAATCTCCAGCC